TCATGTCTGGTTTCTCCTGGTTACCAGACGGCTTGAGACGTGACCACAGCTACAGAAAAAACAAACAGCCTTCTTCACGCTTCGGCTCCCCTATCGATTCAAACATAAACTTTTTTTCTTTCTCTCAAGTATGCTTCAAGTATGGAGCATGGTTAATTTAGAGATTAAGTTCCAAATTAGATTATCTAATGGCATCTTAATGGATTGCTGACCCATTTCCTGTGGGATGGCAGCATGCAAGTCTGGCTGGAATACAGTTCATTTCTTAGGAAGTGTTCTGAAGACATTTGCCCAGATAGAAAGGAAGCATCATGTTCTGCACATCTTTCTTTATAATGGTGAAACTTAGACAAAACTAAAATGGACATATAATGTATGTGTTTTACATATATATATATATATATATATATATATGTGTATATATATATGCATATATATATATACACACACACACACATCGATATATATATAGATATAGATATAGATATACACACATATATTTATGTATTAACTGTTTGGGGATACACCTTCATAACTGCTTTCTGTGACAACTATATCAAGAGAATTATTTCATTCAGTCAAAGCTAATATTTTAATTTCAAATTACTAAGCAGGTGTGAGCAGTTTCTGTCAAAATGAGCTAAATGTTTCAAGCAATACAAAAATGCTGTGAGCTTACCTCACAGCAAAGGAAGTAAGAAGTTCTGTTGCATAAAAATGGTCCTCTGTTATTTGGGCTTTGTTCTTTCTCTACCTTGAACTGAAGATTATTCCATTCATCCACCCTATCAGCATTTTTATCAGGGTCCCAGAGTGGTGCTAGGGGCATGGAATGGTGCGTAAAAAGTTTGAACACCCCATACAGCTGACAGCTGAAAAGGAAATTCAGCACTCTGAGAATAAAGCTCCCCCCAGGAACCCCAGGAACAACCCAGCTGTTGTACTGTACTTATGTGTCAAGATAACAAACTGAAAGCAGGAAATGCTAACCTAGTGAATTTGCCTGGATGGTCTAAGTGTACTGTTCAAGCAAAAGTTAACCCTTTCTCCTGCCAAAGGGTATGTGTGAAAGAGTTTGTGTGCGTGTCTTTATATGGCCATACACTGCATTTTTATGAAAAAACTGGAGCCTACCTGTGTTTTTGAGAAGAAGTCTATATGCAGTCAAGAGGAAAGGAAAGGTCTTACATAAACAATCCAAGTTTTACTTGAGTACTACTAGTGTATGTGTGTGTGTGTGTGTGTGTGTGTGTGTGTGTGTGTGTGTGTGTGTAGACATGGAGGCAATGAATGATATTACTTCACTTCTCTTTTTTCCTCTCCTGCCCCTGACCAGCCAGCTCCTAATAATCTTTACTGGCTGCTAAATTTCTCTTGGGAAATCAAGCAACTCTCTAAAATTGCAGCAATAAACGACAATTTCTTCTAAAAACATATGTAAAATCACTACAGAATGAAATATCCAGCTCATAGAAAAATAACTGTCAACACATGTAACATGGAAAATAGCTGATAAAAGTTTCTTCTATACCACACAGTCATCGTATCACCAGAAATACAAAAATCCTTCCAATTATTTTGCTAAAATCTTCAATCTAGTCATTATTTTGGAGGCTGAGCAAATGGCTTGTGTAAATATATCCCTCAGTAACACTCACATGTTTATTTTTGGCCATCTGAAGTCTTCATCTATGTTTATATAAGCCATCAAACACACACACACACACACACACACACACACACACACACAACCACTCAGTTGTGGGCTTGAGTCCTCTCCCCCAAAAGAAGTGAGGGGAGAGAAAAAAGGATGAAACAATAAATCCTGTTTCTCTTTTACATAATGCCTTTCCTCCTACACTTTAAAATAACACATTAATGTTATTACTGGATAGTGTGCTTGCTTTTTTTCAGTCAATTACATAGTTCTTTCATGTTTGATAGCACATGCTATATGCTGGCTACAAGCTTCAAGAGAAAAAAATCCAGTGAAAAACAGTCTACATTCTGTACCTATATTCACGTATATAACTTGCACAAGTAATCATGTGACTCTTCCAATGAGAGCTCAGATACAACAGTACTTCACATAAACAATGCGTAATTCCTCATCCTCCAAGATGGCCCTTCCTAAATTGAAAGGAGAAGAGTAAACAATAGAACAACGCAATGGGATAATCTCAGTTTGAATGCTTCCACTACCTGATCTGCATTTACAGAGGAAAAAAACAGTTTTCAGGTGAAGCCAAATTTTTCACCACAAAATATGCACATGTTCTACAAATTTACAAGCTCAGTACAATAAAACACATTTAGAACTAAAAGGCCAGTGAAAACTCTCCCTAAGAAGTCAGTTTTGATTCCTAAAAGCATTGTTTATACATTGTAAATTGAAGAAGAATATGGGAAATTTTTTGGATTAAAATATACTTGCACAGGTCATTCCTTAGCATCATGGTTATCAGCCACTATGGAAGGATAAGTGCTTTAACAGAATAGCCCCATTCCACAAGCACACTCATGTAAAGATGTAAATGGTCAAGATTGCATTCCTGGGTTATTGGCCAATAGGCTGGTGGAGAATGTACTGAAAATAAAATTTATCTTTGGTTTCTCCTTTCTTGCTTCAAAGTCTCCAGGGACTGCTTTGTTTGAAACCCTATTTTTCTCACTTTTATTATGCCAGAGGCAAAATAATTCATGAATTTGAAAGCTATGGGGTTTTTTTAGAATTCTCAAACTTCCTGATAAGTCTAAAACTATAGATACTTCTTAAGAACTCTGTTAAACAACTATTATTGGAAGACAATAATTCACAAAGGAATTCACCAGAAATTATTTTTATTTTCTATTTTGATGGCCAATTGGCAATATTTAAAAGTAGGAAAAAATTGAAAGTCTTCTCAGATAATTATTCTTTTAGACTCTGATTTGGGACATATTATATGATAGCTATGAATAAGGACTCTTTTTTTTTACCTTACAGTTGGCCTCTTGGTTATATCAAAGGTGGTCTTAACTGGGACAATAGCATAATAAAACAAAGTACAGCAATTTTATGTTAGTCAGTTTAGAGAAACATTAGGATCCTATTGGGTATAACTACTCTGTCTTGTAAGACACCCAGAATGTAAGCTGATGGAGGGAAGATCTGGCATGCTCTCATATGGTTCACCATGTCTAGCAGAGCTACTCAATAAATAAACACTGGACAAAGTTAATGAATGAATGAAGAACTACTCTTAGCACTTTCAGTAGTAGAGATCCTGAATGACCACATAAGAGGAATGCAGGTTTCTAAGCCACCTTTTTGTTGTAGACTTACAGTGTTCAGCCTTTTTCTCATTATTTGCCCAATCAATCTAAAGAAAATTACTTGAGGGGATGGGCCTGAGAGGTAAGAGGAATGCAGTTTTCTAGTTTTTCTATTCTAGATTTCTCTCAACTTTCCATAATCTAGGGATGGATTTTTGCCCAAAAAGGAGATAACATAAAACAATAGCTAAAAACTGCTGAATATTTCTGGAATATTTACACTGTGCATTTTTTCTACTCACCTGGCCTTCAGCGGAATAAACATTTTTTATTGACTTCAAAAATCAATGGAGGTAAGTACTAAAATAATGCAGTTTTTCAGGAAAATTCTATCATAGGTATGTCAGCAAAGTATAGCTTTCCCCCTTTCTTTACCTATTTCAAACATACTAAGCTGTTCTGCATTGAAATGCAATTGGTTTTTTCAGTATTCAATATCTTAGAGGTATAGTAAAAGGTATTTTTTATGCCTTCGCTCACACATACATGCCCACATACATATATAAATACATTCTACCTGATCTACAAATAAATATTTGGTCCCATGTTAAGGTCCCAAGGGAAATGACCCATACTAGTACACTAACAGGTGAAATCTGCCCAATTGAATAGAAAAAAACATGATTTGGGAATTTTTTAAAAAATGAAACTATTAAGCTACTCACTTTAAATCCAAAATGATGTTAATTTTTTTAAAAAAGGCTCAGTATATTAATAAGATAGTAAGTTAAATTAATAAGAATCACTTCATTGAGTTAAAATAACAGGAATAAGTAATTTGTTGTGAGCTTGATAAAATCAACTTTCATTAACTTCCTTATTTTAAAGTTCTGAACAAGTTTTCCTCCATGCTTAAAAGGTTTCCATATACCTACTGGTAAATGAGTAATGTATTTACAAATGTGCCGTTTTCTGTGTGGTGTTGGGAAAACAGGTTGGCTTTACTTTCATAGAACTCACAGTGAGATTAATTCACCTCCCTGCATAAATTTATGTTTAGTTATATGAATTTAAAACCATGACTTTTAATTATCTAGTCAATCAATCTGAATGAGATTTTTCTTGTCTTTAAACACCTCAGAATCCTAAATTGATAGTAATTCTTCCTTGCTAATTAAAATTGTTTTAATACTAATACATAAGATTTCTTCACAAGATTCTTTGCCTTAAACGTGGGTTGTCATGGCCAAAGAATTCATCAGCTAATGGTCAGCCTATTAGAGATGAGTCTATCCAAACTTAGATAGTACAGTACTTGAAAAGTAGAAGAGTCTGCTATGAGAATCATAACTTTTTAAATAATTTTCTCAACAAGACAAAATAAAGTTAACTCAATAATTCATACTAAAGGATACAATGAAGTGAAATGCATATTTTACCCAAATCTCCATTTTGGCTATAGGTTACAACAAGCTACCCTACACAAACTCTATTATGTGCTGCTATTTAACAGAAAAATCAATTGATTTTAGTTTTAATTTCAGTCTCCTCCCTTTGATGGAAGTGTTAATGATTAATGAAATGGCTTTGAACTATTGGCTGAAAGAAGTTGAAATGAAGGTTATACTGAAAAACTGAAAATTGATTACAGAAAATGCTTCACTAATAATTTATTTTTTTTTAGTTCTTTGGGTACCAAAACCTAACTACTGTTTTCACTTTGTGCTATTTTGTTTCTATTTTAGGATTGCATTCATGCCTGATTTGGAAATTCAGATGGATAAATTAAAGTATTCTACAGCCGCAAATTATTTTTAAGATTGAAATTAGTTATTTAAAAAAATAATAATAAATGAAAAGAGAATGTATAGCCAAAAGATATTATACCCATAGAATTTGACTTAATTTTGACATATATTCTCTGAAAGGTCAGTTAAAACAGATATTGTAGCTCATGTTATTTTTAGATGTAGTGTAGGTTTGGAAATAATTAAAATGTTACCTTTGCCAAGTAATTCCCAATGTATCCTCACTGGCACTGGGGTATAAATGCCTGCCGTTTTGATTCATGGTCCAGTCACAAATCCTCAGCTGTCAATTGAAACCTAGCAGTCAGATATGGATCGAGCAGTACTACAGTTTTTAGTATTTAAATGAATACATGCAAACTAGTACTGTACATGGCATAAACCTTACTTTCCCAAAAGGTAACATTAAAAAAAAAAAGAAAAGAAAAGAAAAACTTATTTTGAAAAGCAAAATTCCTAAAGATTGTTTTAGATAAGCTACTTTAATATGTTCCTCTAGTAATTAAAGCATTCAAGAAAAAGTTGTGCTTAGAACATAACCATTAGCCATTATTAGAGTACAAATTGAGCTGAAATAAAAGAAAATGTTAATGTTCAATAGTGATATATATATATATATATATTTTAGAAAGAAAATCAGGATGCTTTGTATCTATGCAACATACTGAATAGTCTGCACTAAGGTCAAATAATCATTAACTTTAAGCATGCATTTTGCAAACCATAGAAGACATGCAATTTATAGGAAGAAGTCCCCACCTTACACACATTCTCCCTATCTCCAATTAAGAAGTGTACAGGTATTTGCAAGTTTAGGAGTTTATTAATTTAGTGTTACTGAAAGTGACATGACTTAGAAAGAGGTGATAATAATTTCTAATCTTATTATAAACTCCAAGGAATAGAATTTAAAGTACTGTGTTACATTTAAATAAGAGTGAGGAATGCACTCAATGCAAGCTGAAACAAATTCTTCCCAGGTCTCCAAATCATCAGTTCTGTCCTTCAGAGACTATTCATGTAACCCTATACAGCTTTGTTTGTTTAACAGCTGCCCTACAGTGCTAGCAGATTTATTGAAAAGATATACTGCTTATTTTTATGCCTAAGAAAGTAAACTTATCTGCCTTTGTGGAAGAAAAAAAAATGCTTCAAAATTATGGTTTTTAACCTTTAGATATCCATGCTGTAAATAAAGTATGTCTTGCCTGATACAGCATTTTTCATTATAGAACATGACATTCACAATGATTAACTGCAGAAAATACTTATTGTTTTTCCATGAAAAGTTTAAATGTGCTTAGGAGATGTTGATTATGACCAGTCATTTTCAACTTATGTGATATATTTTAGGGCTTTCTAGATCAGTTTGTAGTAAAACACAATTCTGAATATTGAAATCTTTACTATATGGTACAAGGTTCTTGATGTGAACCTCAGAGTAATGTTACTTTTTAAAGATTTGCAAAGTTCTCTTCACCTTATTCTGATGATTATTTTTTAAAAGGTCAAAACACTACTGCCCAAACTCCTGCTACTATACTACTAATGTCTTAATATTTCAGGGGGGAAAATCATTCATGTGACTAGTCATGTGAGGATACAGCCCCTGTGAACAGGCCATTAAGCCATTTAAAAACTATATTATCCTGAAAAGGAAATATTTATTCCTAAAATAATATTTGAAAATATATTTTAATGCCCAGTACTGTATATAAACAGGGAAATGTGTGATAATTTAATTATATATAAGGTATGAAATTCTGACATTTTGAAAAAACTAAAAAAAAGAAAACCCAACATTTTCTCACTTGACTGTAACATGTAAATATAACTCTACATATTCAATGTTTTCTTAAGTGTAGTTCAGAAGGTCAAATGCAACTATAGTCACCTTCAGCTGAAATTTAATGCTTAAGGTCTCAGTAATGGGAATATTTTCACCTAAACAGAAGGGGTGGAGGACGTGAGGAAGTTGGTTTTTATTGTTGTTGTTATGTCCAGGTAATAAGTGTTATGACCTAAAGATGACATCACTGATTTTTTAAAAATCACTTATCTCCAAATATTTGCCAAAAAAAGCTTATTAAAACATATGTGTACATGTGTATACATTTGTTTTTATTGGATTATGAAAATATGTAAAATATTTTCATAAGTTCTTGGTTTTATATCTATTTTTCTATCTATATGGAATTTCTGACAAAATTTCATTTAAAAAATTCCTAATGAATTTTATAAATCTCTATAAAGATAAAATAAATTTACATTAAACACTGGACTAGAATGACCCTAAACAACAGTGAAATTACTTCTCCCCAAGAGAAACTAGTTGTGGAAGTAGAAATGAAGATAACCTTTGTGGAGAAGTGATTATTCCATCTCAGCATTTGTGATAAAGGAGAGGAAAGCTAGGCATAATCTGGGTGTTCTGAAGAGCAGATTTCAAAGAATACAGAGAAAAGATAGGTAGGACTCCATTGCTAAAAATTCATACAGGAAGACAAAACAGGAGGAATGGTAAGTTTTAAGAATTAAATTCTGAAGACAAAAAGAGAAACAATTCCAATATGGCAAAATAAGGAGAGATATCTGAAGAAACCAATGAAACACACAGACCACCTTAGATTTCTAAAGCTCAGAATGAATTGAGGCTCACAATGAATGATAAGATCATCAAAAAGGGTTTATTTAGCTATACTGAATTAGAAGTGGATTAAGGAAAGGATTGTACTATTCTTGGCCAAAGTGAATGATAAAGAGAAGGCCAAATCACAAATTTTTTCTCTGACTGAATAGCTGGAAAGGAGCAAAAATGGCTAACAGGTCACAAACTACATTTACCCCAGGGTACTCAAAAAACAAACAAAAAAACAAAAAAAAATCTGGTGGATAAGATTGTTGAATCACCACTGGTGATCTTTGGGAGAGGTTCTATAGACCTAGAAACAGTGAAATATTCTGATTTTCCTAAAAGGGAAGACAGTAGAGTCTAAAAACTATCAAAAAGTGAGCTTGACTTTAATTTCTGAAAAAAAAAATCTAAAAAGTATTATTAAAGGGATGGTTAGTGAATAGTTAGAAGGGAAAGATATGATCACATAGAATCAGCACAGTTTCATAAAGATCATGACAAAAATAACCTAATTTCCTTCATAGACAAGGGTTACTAGGGTGGTATATCAGGAATGTTAAAGATATTTACCTAGACTTTTAAGAAAGTGACAAAGTCTCTTTATTCTTATAAAGAAGATGGATAGATGTAGGATAGGTAATCAAGAGAAATATAGAACTGGATGAATAGCTAAGCCCAACAAGTAATGGTGGGATTTCATTACAGGAGATATCTAGTGAAGTACATCTGGTATCTTTGTTTTGTCCGGTAGTGTTTACCAATGATAAAGGCAAAAATGGCATGTTTATCATAAGAATAGGGACCATTTCATTCACATCTTTGCATCCCAAGCACTTAGCACAGAGCTTTGTATAAAGTAGATACTTCTCTTCATAAGTGTTTGTTGAATTTCACTGAATGACATTAAGCTGGGATGGATAGTCAATATACCGGATAATAGAGTAAGGATCTGAAAAGTTCTTGGCAGTCTAGACATTGTACCAAATCTAGCAAGCTGAAATTTAACAGTGTTATAGATATCTGGATTTGGAGTAACAAGACCTGGGTTTGGATCTTGGTTTGCTTACTGAGTTTTTGTGTGACTTGGAGTAAATCACATCATTTCTTTGGGCTTCAGTTTTCTCATATAGAAAAAAAAAGGAGTTGGTCTTGAAAGTTCCTTCTAACTCTGATCTTATGATCTATTGGTCTTATACTTGTGCCTCAAAATAAACTTCCCTAGTACAAAATGGGGATGAGGTGGCTAGATAGCAGTTTGAAAAAAAGATTTGGAGTCTTTAGTAAGCTCAATAGAAGACATAAAGTGATTTGGCAGCAGAAAAAGAAAAAGAAAAAAAGAAGATAAAGCACTAAAGTCACCAGAACCTTTAAGAGAACAAGAGTTTCCATAATTATGGAGGAGATGATCCTGTGCTTGGATCTGTTCAGACTATATCTGGAACATTGTCTTCAGTTCTAAGCACAAGATTTGAGGAAGGAAACTGAGAAATTGGAATTTTTTCTTCCAAAGGTGGGTGACTAGGATGTTGAAGAAACTCAGTTTGAGATCATATTACATAAGGATTAGAAGAAGGGATTGAAGATGTTTACCCACAAGAAGACTCAGGGGATAGGGCATGGAAGGGTGGGAGGAGAATTATAGCTCTCTTCAAGGAAAAGAAGGAGAGTGTTAGGGAAGTACTTTTGTCAGTCCCAGAGGGCACAATTAGAAGTAACAAGGGATGAAATTTAGGGGGAAAAAAACTTTTCTAGCAATTCCATGTTTCTAAAAGTAGAATGGGATGTCTTGGGAAAGTAGTGGGCTCTTCCTCACTGGAGGTCTTTAAGCAAAGTTTAGATAAGCACTTAGGCAAACTACAGAGTAGCTGCTCTTAAAGTGTGATCTGGGGACCACTGGGGGTCTCCAAGACCCTTTCAGAAGGTATATGAGGTCAAACCTATTTTCATAATAATACTAAGAAATTTTAATTTCTAATATGATAAATATAGATACAACCCACACAAAGCTCTTTTGGGAGTCCTCACTAACTTTTAAGAGTATAAAGAGATCATGAGACCAACAAGTTTGAGAATCATTGTTGGAAAGGATTCTTATTTAGGGATGGCTTAGATTTGATGGTTGCAGAGGAGCCTTCCAACTTGGATTCTATAATTACTTTTTTTTAAAAAAAGTTGACATTTTATAGTCTAGTCTAGCTTGGTTAACTGAATGGAAAACATCATTGAGGGTTTTGAATTTAATAAGAATAAAACATTTTGATAGGTTCTGAAGGAACAAAAAGCAGGGAAAATAACTGATGTGACAGGAAATATAATTCCATAAAAGTTTTCCATGCTGGTGGTTAGTTCTATCAAGTATCCAG